GATTTTACCCAGTGGAAAGCGTGGCATGTTGTTTTGACCCACGCTACTTTTATCCAAAGGGAAAAAAAGAAAAGGGTCAAAAAGTAAATATATAAACATGTTTTCCAAAGTCGCAGTGCACCTAGGAACCAGACTCCCCTTGTAATGACGACAAGGCTCAGCTCATCCACGTGGAGAGATACAAACCTTTTGAAGCATGTGTTTTTACAAAGAATAATTCATAAAGGAATGAGCAGAACATGCAACAGCCCAAACTCTTTGATGCTTAGCTCGTTACACTATTCTCTCTGACGCAGGAGGGTCTGAGGACGGTGGTCCCCCTTATGGACCAACGTCTCTATGTGTTTGTTATTATTGCATTTCCTATGTTCCAACCGTTTGATTTTCTGATCTGTTGATGAGGAATCGAAAGCTTGCAGACTCTTTATTATCCCTGAAACAAAGCAGTCCCTGTCGTCCCGTACTCAGCTCTAAAGCCTCCTGCTTCAGTTCAAACGCACAGGGCTAAAGGAGGAAATAAAACATGTCCATCATAAATCACAGCATTCAGCCTCGTCCTGGGGATAACGGAGCCCTCTGCTGCATGGTTCATTTATGGTTAGTGCCTTGGTTTATGGTTAGTGTCTTGCCCATCGACACAAGCACCACCACCATTGAAGTGAATTATTATGAGTCTTGTCGTTCTAGTGTGTAGATTTAAAACCTTCTTTACCAGATCCACTTGTAAACGACAATCTCAAGAGCAGTTTGGTCGAAATATAGCTACATTTTATCTGCAAAAAGACTTAATAAAATATTTTTTTATGAGTTCATAAAAATGCGTATTACTACATACTAGTTGTATTACAATCCGTAATTTAATTGAAAACTTGAGCTCATTGATTCAGCTGTGTATGAATTCAGGCCGTATTAACCATAGACTGTATATATTAACGGACAGAGTCACTCCTATCTCCGCCGTTCTAACTTGATGGGCCAAAAAATGTGCTCTGCTGGAGCAATCCAAAATGGCCGCGAGTGGTCCCGCCCACAAGAAAATTGTGAAAAAACCCATCTGCGCATGCGTCAGCCGGCGCAGCTCCATTCATTTGAACGAGAAACTTCAAAAATTCACAGCAAGTAAACTAGAGTGGTCCAAAATAATTCACCCCCCTCAGCATTGACACACATGTGGAACGGAGCTTTGGGCCAAGAGCCAACTTTTGGACCATCCTGTAAAGACGTTTTTGAGACGTTTTCGTCTGCCAATGCTATATTGCAAGCATGTCAGCGCACGTCATTTTGGCCACTTTTGAGCCGGGACCCGACCCCACTGGTATTAACAAGTTGAGTAGAACGAGGAGACGCCGCCTGTTATGAGCAGGCTGCGTCCTCTAGCCTCTACAGCGCTGCTAAAAACACTAGCATGTTAGCAGAATTGGCTATAACTCCTCTTGCTGTAACTACAGACACAGCAAAACAGCCCAAACAACACAACAGTGAGGAAGAGAAGAGGGAACTAAAGCGAGAAAATGATCAAAGAGGAAACCAAGCCCGGGTAAAGATAGCTAGCTTACATCGTATCCTCTGGAGAGCCTTGTCTATGGGAGAGACCTGCGGGACCACATTCGGACGCGAAACTAGCGGTAATCTTTCAGTTATATATATTGTTAGCAGTGCGTTGCTTTTGTACATTTCATCAGTGATTGTTGTACAGCTTAAGTTGTGCTAATGCTAATGTTAGCATCAGATCGCAAATACAACTAGATGGCTCCGTGGGATGAGAGCTTCTGGGAAATAAGAAGCCTCTGAGCGAGTTGGGAGGCGGTGCTAAACATTCAAACCTTGCAGAAACGGGTATAACTCCTTTAAAAATAGTTGAAAATACGTATTGTGATTATCTATGATTTTAATTCCTTGTGTGATTGTTTTGTTGAGAACTTTGAGTCGCCTTGTGATTTAACTCTGCTAAACACATAAGCGTGCCTTGACTTGTAACTATCAACAGGAGCCACGGCGGTCCCCACAGCACTACAGATGCTAAACACAGAAAACACCCTGATGTAGTGTTTCCAACGATGAAAGCGGTGGAGAGTCGTGATCCGCCTCCGGAGTCTGAGAGAGAGCCTCAAATCACACGTATGTTTCACCGACTCATTATCTTCGCATTCACTCAATGGACTTCACACAAACCAGCTCCAGTGACACTTTGTAATGTGTTAGTCCTAATTAGCTTCGAAACAGTTGTTGTTTTGTGTGACACTTTACTGATTTATGCAATGATAATCTGGAACATGTCAGAATGTGCAATACAGAACCACATGTGCCACTGTCACTGTGTCTCAGACCCTCATGCTGCTAATGTACAACTAAAGTTAGAGATTTTAGACGTTCTTCTTTATTTTTGTATTTTCTTATTCATTTCTTTTACCTGTCAATGTTACTGCAGAACTGTGATCATGGGCTTTACACTGATCCAGGCCAGAGCGTAGAGGATGGTCCCGACCAAGCAGATCAAGCCAAATTCCACTGGAAACATGGTTGTAAATAGTTGTTTTTGTGTGTGTGTGTTTAAATTATAATAATGTATTCAAAATTTCACTCTGGACCAGAACCAAGCAGAATCTGCGAACCCAGAGGACGCATCTCAGCACCAACGGCTACACCACCTCTGCTGCTGTGACCTGTCCTGTCCTCTGTCCTCTGTCTGTATTTTTTTTTCATCTATCTGGCCATTTTTGGCATCTTTCTGTGGCATATTTTGTATCTATTTTCTTTGGTCTCTCTCTCGTCTGTTCCTGGTCTCTCGCTCTCTAATCTCTCTCTCTCTCTCGCCGGTCTTTCTCTGATCTATCTGGTCTCTCTCTGGTCTTTCTCTGGTCTTTCTCTGCTCTCTTTATGGGCTCTCTATCTATGTATTTCCAGGATACTTCTTTTGAGAGACACCTTATAACTTGATTACTTCTATCCATCCATCCATCCATGCATTTTCTACCCCTTAATCTATTTCTGGGTCGGAGGGGTGGCCAGGTGGTGAGTCCACAGGAGGCTTGATCTTTCATCGGGGGCTTCAGGCAAAGTTGGGTTAAGTGTCTTGCCCAAGAACACAACGACAGCCGTCATCAATGGGAGTCGGTAAAGAAAGTCTCATGGTGGACTCGAATCCACAACCTTCAGGCTCAAAGGCCAATGCTCTACCTTCTGAGCCACTGTCGCCCCTACCCTATGGATAGAAGATGATTACTTCTATCCATAACAAAACATATACGTATAAGAACATTATAAATGAAAAAAGTAGGCAGAGATGTGTCACTGTACATAAATTGTCCTGGGTTTAGGACATAATGCGGAAATTCTGCTACTTTTTCTCAGTGAGTTTCGCGGTGGCTCTGGTGTGGAGTGGAGCAGGTACAAAGAGACTCAGAGGAGATGCATTCCTTATTTCTGACACAAACACACACACACACACACATAAAGACGTGACTGTGCAGAGACCCAGTGCTGTGACTTTGCTTTGACAGAATCCTTGTTTACATCTCGAGCTTCCCGTTTGCTCTCCCCCGTCTCTCTCTTCATCGTCCCCTTATGGCTTTAATAATGACACAATCCGAGCCTTTGCGGTGCCTGGATTACAGATCACAGCTCCAGAAGAGAAGGCCATGAATATTACCGTTTTAAAACTGGGTCTATATACAGCATAATACAAATGATAGAGGACTTGTCAATGTATAGTGTGTACGTGTAGCAGCAATATGTTAAAGGGGAGAAGAAGGCGTTTGGATGTTTGTGAGTGGCATTGAGAGAAGGATTAATAAAACATGTTTCAAAGCAGGTGTAAAAGTCGGTTCTTAAAATAGCTGTAGCATTACCAGCGGAGAACAACCATGGCAGAGTTGTCTAAATCCCTTGGGCTTTCGCTTCAGTTCTTTTCCCACAACTAAACACAGATGCCACTCCATCAATAATCTGTGGTTTGCTTGTAGCGACAGCTCGTGCAACAGCCCTCCTCCTCTTCATCGCTATCTCAGCAGTGGTACTCTCTCAATATCGCTGGTCTATTATTATTCCAATAGTTTAAAAGTGTTAGCGGTAGAGAGAGAGAGACCTGAGAGAGACCCGAGAGACAGACCAGAAAGAAGGACCAGGCAAAGAGACCCGAGAAAGAGACCAGAGAGAGAGACCATAGTTGTGACCTTAGCCAAGACACTTCCCCCACATTAGAATCTTAGAGTCTTCTGTGTGTGTGTGTGAACGGTCGGTGGTGGTGGAAGGGGCCAATGACACATACTGGTTGCCTCGCTTCTGTCAGTGTGACCCAGGGCAGCTGACACTCAAGGACAAGCGTCTTTGAATGTCCAAAAAACATACAGTATTTAAAACCAATGCATTATCATTATTATCTATCTTGTTCCTGAATGGCTACTTTGTGTTAGTAACCTTCGTTTAGACATACTGCACCTGCTTTAAGTTTAAAGACTTAAACATAAAATGCAAAAACAACACACATTTAGTACAAGCCGAGTGGATCTGAGCACAAATCCATGTTGGATCAGTAAACAGGTGCATGTATGCTAGCTTGCACTTTACATTCCTCACGCGCTAACACCCACTGGACATGAATATATGCAGTGCACATCTGTCTTAAAACTCGACTACAGAACCCCCTGAGACCGTTCATTTCAATGAGTTAAAACTGCTAATAAGACATGTCGACTACAGCAGCGAAATACACAGAGTCAAAGAAGAGAGAGATCAGAGAGCGAGACCAGAGAGAGAGACCAGAGAGACCACAGCGAGTCCAAAGTGTGACCATAGAGAGACCGGAGAGAGAAGAGAGGGACAAAAGAGACCAGATAAAGACCAGGGAGAGGTTAGAGGGAGGTGAGAGAGAGATAGATGAGAAACTGCACATGTCTTAACACAGAAACAATAGAACCCCTGGAGATCGTTCATTTCAATGGATGATTCCACAGCAGAGAACTAAACAAAGAAGACATCAGAACGAAAGGCGGTATCAGGTCTTACTTGATGCGGTCAGGCACTCGGTGGGTGTGGTTGCCGTCGCTTTGACAGTTCCCTGCGTACTGGGTCCTCCCTAAGGGCCCCTGGTCCCTCCTCAGAGCCATGGCCCCATGGGTGAGCACCGACACTCCTTTAGCGATCCTCCTGTGGGGGCAGAGGTGTGTGGTGAGAGGGGAACGAGATCCTACAGTGACTATGTTCAAAGGTTTATGTCGGGGCTGTAAAACCGGTTCTCCAATATCTATCAGAATATACTGTATATCCAGCCAGAGTGAGAGAGAGACCAGAGAAAGAGAGAGAAAGACCAGAGAGGGATGGACACGGGAGAGAGAGACCAGGGAGCGCATCGTGAGAGCAGCAGAGAAGATCTGTGGAGCCCCTCTCCCCACCATTAAGGACATGTACTCCACCCGTCTCACCCGCAAAGCCGTCAGAATCACCAGGGACCCTACGCACCCATCACACAGGCTCTTCAGGGTAATGCCTTCAGGGAGGAGACTGCAGAATTTACGGAACAGTTCCAGTCGACTTAAAAACAGTTTCATTCACAAGGCCATCAGGAAGCTGAACTCCCTGCCCTCCCTCCCACCCCTCTTCCCCCACCCCCCGCTCCACAATCAAGGATGAGAGAAATATAATTTCAAACCATTCACTTGGTTTGACAAATAAAAATCTTGAAATCTTGAAATCTTGAAAGAGTCAAGGGGGGAGAGAGAGAGAGCAGAGAGACCAGGGACCAAGAGAGGGAGAGAGCAGGAAGGAAGAAAGAGAGAGCGAGACCAGGGAAAGAGAGAGAGAGAGACACCAGGGAGAGAGAGAGGGATTGACTTGGGAGAGAAAGACCAGAGAAAGAGACAAGGGGGAGAGAGAGAGCATAGAGACCAGGGAAAAAGAGAGAGAGAGACCACGGAGAGCGAGGGAGATACCAGGAAGAAAGAGGGAGAGAGAGACCAGAGAAAGAGAGAGAAAGACCAGAGAGAGATGGACCAGGGAGAGAGAGACCAGAGAAAGAGAGAGAGGGAGAGAGAAGAAAGAAAGAGAAAGAGAGACCAGGCACAGAGAGAGCGACACCAGGGAGAGAGAGGGGGATGGACTTGGGAGAGAGAGACTAGGGAAAGACAGAGAAAGACCAGAGAGAGATGGACAAGGGAGAGAGTCCAGGGAAAGAGACAAGGGGGAGAGAGCGAGAGAGTAGAGAGACCAGGGACAGAGAGAGAGGGAGAGAGCAGGAAGAAAGAGAGAGAGACCATGTAGAGCGAGGGAGATACCAGGAAGATAGAAAGAGAGACCAGGTAGAGCGAGGGAGATACCAGGAATAAAGAGAGAGAGTGAGACCAGGGAGAGGGAGAGACCAGGTAGAGAGACCAGGGAGAGACCAAGGACAGAGAGAGAGACCAGGTAGAGAGACCAGGGAGAGTCCCATCACTTTCTTGTCTTTCTTCCTCTGTGTGAGTACCTCCCTTTATTGAGTTCCCTCCTAAGTAGTCACCAACGACAGATCAGAGAATCAAACCGTTCAAACGCAACGTCCACAGTTCCATCCTGACCTTGTATCGCTCTGGGAAGAGAGATCTCTGAGTACCTGGTTAAATAAAGGTCTAATAAAAATAATAAAAGTACAATTATGGCTTTTATGGTGAGACACTTCCGACAAAGATGAAAGCTCCCATCGAATCACGTCTCGGTCATTACATAATATCTTTCTTGGATGTTATTAAATGGCTACAATTAGAGCAAATCTGTCCCTGGGGAAGAGTCGAAGGCCCTAAGTCTTACTTCTTGCCTTATCGTAAAGTCTGCGATTGGACTGCGATGTTCAAGGACACAAGTTTGAGTGTAACCGGAGCAGCACGGACAGCTTTTAAAAGTGTCTCAGACAAAAAGAAAATCCAATTACATTTCTGCTAAATGAGTTCTGGTCTGTTTCAGAGGGAGGTGAGCTTCATGCATACGCTTAAGCACAGGTCCACGACTCTACAGTCCTGGTTCAACAGCCTCAGTCCTGGATCTATAGCCTCAGTCCAGGGTTCTACAGCCTCAGTCCTGGATCTACAGCCTCAGTCCAGGGTTCTACAGCCTCAGTCCTGGATCTACAGCCTCAGTCCTGGATCTACAGCCTCAGTCCTGGATCTACAGCCTCAGTCCAGGATCTACAGCCTCAGTCCTGGATCTACAGCCTCAGTCCAGGATCTACAGCCTCAGTCCAGGATCTACAGCCTCAGTCCAGGATCTACAGCCTCAGTCCTGGTTCTACAATACTTGTTGGTGAATACAGAAATGTGTAAAGTCCTTCAAAACGACTGGTGTTGAGATCTAGGGCTCTAAAAAAATACATTGAAATCGAAAATCAATCATTTGCTTTGGCATATGGTGGAAACAACTTACAAAAAAGAATATGTCTTAATACAATTGTAGCATAAAAGTGCACACAATATACATCAAACAGAGCAGACGAGTGACCAGAGGTTTGAGATCATAAAGTGAGAGTGTCAGAATCATTTTATTGCCATGTAAGTAACAGAAAGTCACAGACTAGGAAATTGCTTTGGCTCTCGGTACAAACAGTCAAAAGTAGAAAGTTAGAGAAGAGAGAATAGAGTAAGGCATAGTCAAAATCAGCATACAGTATTGAGTGATTATTGTGATCATCTGTGGCGCCATCTTGGATCATCACCATTGGTTACGGCTACTGTGTGTCTTTGGGCAGGACACTTAACCTGCCTGGCTCCCAGTATCTGCATACACTGGTACAGTATATGTGATGTATGTGTGTGTGCGTTTGTGTGTGTGTGTGTGTGTGTGTGTGTGTGTGTGTGTGTGTGATCGGCTCCTTGTAAAAAAGAAATTGTGACTATTTGAAATCACTACAAAAGTACAGAAGTACAGAAGAACAGTGAGGTCTGTGTGTTACACTGAATAAAGTGTACATTCTGACTGTCTTAAAACATGATTTGCAATGGAACAAAGCCTTTTAGACTCTTAATCTGTTGCTTTAAGTTATTCTAAAACAGACATTTCTTGTATCTTTTTTTAACAAGATATTTTTTCTGCGTCCAATTGACACATATTGTTTAAAGGGTCAGTCAGAATGTGCTCAAAGTAACATAGAGACATGCAACGCCTCATAGAGCAGCTACTGTATTGTTGCGCAGTGTTATACTTTAAATGCAGTCAAAGCCTCTCTCTCATGTGTGCGTGTAACTCCAGGCTTCAGGAAGATTCTCCTGTTCTGCTTTTGGGGAGGATCTCAAAGCGTTCTGTGCAAACGCAGCACATTTTCAAGGATGAGAGGGATTACTGGAAGTGAACTGTGCATGATAGAAGGAGAGGAGGTTGGAGTTTGTCAGGGTTGCAGCTCACAGTAAAACACACAAGGGTTCAATTCAATGTACAGTATTAGGAGGAGGACTTTACAACTGTCAATTTGCCAACACAGATCAGAGAACCCAAGGAGTAAACTAGAGTTACATAGATAATCAGCAACTTTGGCTTATAGAGCTACCGACCTGGAGTCTACTCGAGAGCTGGGGTCTCCAACCAATCAGAGAGAGAGTTTTAATAGTAATAATAATGCATTGGTTTTAAACAGGGCTTCTTTGGACTCTCTTTCTTTGGACTCCCTGCATGTCATTATTCTTTCACTCCAAACTCTGTGGTGAACTACTTGCCCAAGAACACAGCAACAGTTTTGCGCTTTATAACCGCAGCCGCCCCACTGTGGAACCTGTTCCTAGAGGTCTCCCATCACAGTACTACCCAGGCCCTGCCCTACCCAGCTACAAATGTCTGACAGGATCTGGCTTTCCCCTGCAGGTTTGGCCAATAGTGCTGCATTGTTGTGATCCACTGAGGGGTTTGGGGGAAAGGCAATCCATGAATCAACCTCTTTCCATCAATGTCCGTAAAGGCTTTGTGTGACGATGTCCTAATCGCTAATTAGCACGTTAGCATTTGAAAGTTTGTTAAAGTACTTGGTTCCTTACAGCCCCTAGATTTGTTCCTGAGACCTGAGGGAGACCAAATAGAGTGACCAGAAAGATACCAGCGAGAGAAAAGAGACAGAAAATAAAGAGAGACCAGAGTGAGAGACAGGTAAAACAGGGAGAAACCTGAGAGAGACAAGAAAGAGACCTAGGAGAGAGACCAGAGAAACAGTTGAGAAAGAGAACAGAAAGATACCAGATACATCCTAAAGCCTGGTTCACACAAGACAATTTAAAAATTGTCGGACAATTTTTTTCTCCGTGTGAGACCTTACACACGGAGGGAAATCACGGGTCTAACCACTTTGGTCGTACAGTGTGTGGTGCGCAAACCACACACATCACACACGAACCGATTTCTCTTCCGAGCATTCCCAGGGCAGACGGAAATCTCACAAAATCTCTCGAGATCAAGCGTGACTTCAGAGTAAACACACATGGCGGACAAAGAGGATGCAGTGGCGATAGTTTGTTTTTAGCAGAGAAAAGATATAATCAAAGGAAAAGGTGATGGTCAAAGAAGTGCAGACAACACGAGCATGGAATATACTTTCTACATCGTGATCTGGAGGTGAGTTGTTTTTTTACGGCGTTTCCTCGCCGCCTCGTCACCTCGTCTTCTGATTGGCTACACGCCGCAGTCATGGCAACGCGTTCGTCTGTCCCCGGGGGACACCACACACGAAGAGAAATTGGGCCAAAACAATCCAACATGTTGGATATCCCCGATATTGAGATTGGAGCAGTCCAAAAGTCCTTCCGAGCGACGAGCGCAGTCTTAACACACCACACACGCCAGGACAATACATCAGATTTTTTTTACGATAATCGGAGCGTTATTGTCATAGGAGTAAATCGGGTACAAATCGGCCTAATTATCCTGCCGTGTGAACCAGGCTTTAGTGATCTTATGACACATGAAAATGTTTCTATTTTGACACTAATAATGTTTTGGTGACATAACCAGCAGCCAGACACACAAGGTTGTCTTCCTCCAGCTCTTACAGAGAGTGGACTTTCCTTTGGTCAACATCTCTCAAAAAACATTTTTTAAAAGGCTTTGCTAATGGCTTCTCTTTTGTTTCACTGATTTGGTGTTGGTGACCAGAGAGAGACCAGAGGTAAACCAGAGAGATATAAGTGAGACTAGAGAGAGAGAGC